CATCCACATTTTTAAAGAAACTTGGTGCTATTTTCACTGAAACCAAATAAACCCATTGCCGTTGGGTCGATTCTGACTCATAGAGACGCTATAGGACAGAGTGGAACTGCCCTGATAGGGTTTCCAAGGAGCTGCTGGTGGATTCAAACTGCTGACCTTTTGGTTAGCAGCCATGGGCTCCGTTTTGACTGAACTGAGCATTCATTTGGCAGCTCAGCAATGAATTAAATGAATTTTCCACTAAAAATAAACACATTTTCAACTTAAGTTAATCCACACCCACAAACCACCTTTGGAGTTGTGTTTACTGTGGTTGTTTTGGTCAAAACTATCCCCACGATTCTGAATTTCAAGGTCACCTCACCAAGAAGGATTAAGTGGTGGCTGGTGTCAGGGGCATCTAGCTCTGTCATTCCCATCCATTGCCTGATCCAAATGGCTCTGTGGAGTCTGATTGGGAAACTCTCCACCTTTTACTGACATGGAAACTACTCTGAGCCTGGACATATAGTCCTCACATGTGTTGTTGGGTGCCATCAAGTTGATTCTGACTCATACTGACCCCACGTGACAGAGTAGAACTGCCCCATAGAGTTTTCTAGGCTGCAGTCTTTATGGGAGCGGATCACCAGGTCTTACTAGCCTGGAGCTGCTGAGTGGGTTTGAACAGCCAACCTTCAGTTAGTAGGTGAGCACTTAACCGTTGTGCCACCAAGTTTCCTTAAAATAGATATAAAGGACACATAATACATTGAAAGTATGAATCTTACTGAGTTTCAATACAGAGAATCCAATGGTAAAAGTTTAAAAGTTATGGAGACTGTCTTAGTTATCTAGTGCTGCTATAACAGAAATATCACAAGTGGGTGGCTTTATCAAAGAGAAATCTATTCTCTCACAGTCTAGTAGGCTAGAAGTCCCAATTCAGGGTGCCAGCTCCAGGGGAAGGCTTTCTCTCTGTCGGCTCTGGAGGAAGGTCTTTGTCATCAATCTTCCCTTGATCCAGGAGCTTCTTCAAGCAGAAACCCCCGGTCCAAAGGACGCACTCTGTTCTCAGTGCTGCTTTCTTGGTGGTGTGGGGTCCCTTTGTCTCTCTACTTGCTTCTCTCTTTTATGTCTCAAAAGAGATTGGTTTAAGACACAATCTAATCTTGTAGATTGAGTCCTGCCCCATCAACACAACTGCTGCTAATCCCATCTCATCAACGTCACAGAGACAGGACTTACAGCACATAGGAAAAATCACATCAGACTACGAAATGGTGGACAATCACACAATACTGGGAATCATGGCATAGCCAAGTAGACAGATATTTTTGGGGGACACAATTCAATCCATGACAGAGACCATTAGGTGTATTGACCATTACCAGTGTACTTATTTGTGTATATTAAGAGATAATTGTTCATTTTCTGCTGTGGATGACACCATTGTGGTCATGTTGAAAAAAACAGACATATTCCAAAATACTTATGGATGAACTATGATATCTGAGAATTGTTTCAAAATTATCCAGAAGGAAATGGGTGAAGTAGAGATGAAAATTGATTAAAAATTATTGAAGGCAGCTAATGGATAGATAGGAATCCTTGGGTGGTGCAAAGAGAGAATGTGCTCAGCTGCGGACTGAAAGGATGAAGGTTCAAGTCTACTCAGAGGCACCCTGGAAGAAAGGCCTGGTGATCTACTTCTGAAAGATCAGTCACTGAAAACCCAATGGAGCATGGTTCTACTCTGACACACACGGAGTCACCATGAGTTGGGGTCGACTCCATGGCAACTCGTGGTGGTGGTGGTAGTAGGTTAGAGAACAGAGAATTTGTAAGACTGACAAAGGATCAAGAAAGCCTTCATGCCAGAATTATTACTGAGTGCTTGCATTTCCTTACTTCATACAAATAAAATGGTATGAATTTGAAATATTTGGAAATAAAATCTTACTAAAATAATGACACAAAAGTGAACTAATTACTCAAGGACCGAATGAATTCAAACTAAAGAATAAGTTGTGTCTATAATCTTGCCACGTCGTTTCTCTGGCTATTCTGTAGAACAACCAGACAATCAGGCAACACTGCTGGAACCATGTCAGATTACATACACATCAGAGGGAGATTTTTGTGTCAACTGTGCTTTTATTTTAACATTAACAACTATCATGATCTAAAATATCTTGTCACATGACAACTATCATTTAAGAGTTTGTGATCTGGTGGAGCTGCTGCTGGTGTTGGAAAACTGAATAAAAATTAATATATTTGGAAAGTTAGATGTGATAAAATTCTAGGAAGAGGGCTAAACTACTGCCAAGATATGCCATACTGGCAATTTAGGAGTCAGCACTCTGCAGCATGTTGGATTCACACCAACTTATTAAAAACAGTTATTAAACTTTCATTTTGTATACACTTTGGAAGAATCAAAATTACAATAACTACCCTCCTCTTCCGCTACCCCTTGTCAGTGTGTTGAACTGTGATGGCTTGAATGTTGCTGTAAGGCTAGAAGCAGGCCACTGGTATTTCAAACACCAGCAGGGTCAGCCACGGTGGACAGGTTTCAGCAGAGCTTCCAGACTAAGACAGACTAGGAAGAAAGGCCTGGCAATCTACCTCTAAAAATCAGCCAATGAAAACCCTAGGGATCACAAGAGAACAGTGTCTGATATAGTGCTGGAAGATGCGTCCCCTAGGTTGTATGGCACTGCAATAGCCAAAACAATGGACTCAAACATTTTGAGGATCATAAAGATGGTGAAAGACTGGGCAACGTTTTGTTCCATTGTGCATGGGGTCGCCATGACTCAGAGCCTACTCAATGGTAACTAACAAGAAAAACAACCCATCTCTTACAGGAGAAACACTGACAGTATATTCCCCGGACACCCTTATAGCTCAGTAATGAAGTCACTCCTGAGGTTCACCCTTCAGCCAAAGATTAGACAGGCCCATAAAACAAAACCAGATTAAATGGTTACACCAGCCCAGGGGCAAGGACGAGAAGGCAAGAGGGGACAGGAAAGCTGATAATGGGGAACTCAAGGTCTAGAAGAGGAGAGTGTTGATGTGTCATGGGGTTGGCACCCAATGTCACAAAGCAATCTGTGTATAAATTGTTTAATGAGAAACTAGTTTGCTCCGTAAACCTTCATCTAAAGTACAATAAATATATATAATAAATGTGACCTTTAAAAAAAGAAAATAAAAAAGAAATGACTTGAAGGCAACTGGTGGGTGGTAATGGAATCCTAATCCCTTCTGAGTAGACTTCTATAAAAGAGAAAGACAGACAAGGACACAGTCACACGCAGAGGGAGGATATCATGTGAAGATCTGTCTACAAGCCAAGAAGCACCCCCAAATGCCTGGGACTACTAGTCAAAAACTAGGAAGAGGCATGGAACAGTTCCTTTCTCAAAGCCCCCAGAAGGAATTGACACAGCCAAGACCCTGATTTGGACTTCTAGCCTCCAGAACCATGAGAAAATAAATTTCTGTTCTTTAAAGGCCAAAAAACAAAACAAAACAAAAAACCCATCTCTTAAAGGTCAAATACAACTCACTTTTTAAGTTCAACCAGGTCTACTGTGGGTCTAGTTTCAATACACACAGAGACAAAGAAACGCCACAGACATACAGTAAGATACATGGACACTTGCAGACATTCCTGCCTGGACACACGGACAGCCACAGGGACACACGAGTCCTCCTAAACATACACACATGGCCGAGAAACAGATGTACAACATGACACAGATTTTGTCACTGGGACATATAGGGGAACACACACAATGACACACAAGTTCACAGGCACACAAAATCACAAACATGCTGTCTTAGTCATCTAGTGCTGCTGTAACAGAAATACCACAAGTGAATGTCTTTAACAAAGAGAAATTTATTTCTTCACAGTAAAAAAAAGGCTAAAAGTCCAAATTCGGGGCATCAGCTCCAGGGGAAGACTTTCTGTCTCTGTTGGCCTTCTCATCAATATTCCCCTGGACTAGGAGCCTCTCCACCCAGGGAGCCTGGGTCCAATGGACGCGCTCTGCTCCCGGCACTGCTTTCTTGGTGGTATGAGGTCCCCAAATCTCTGATACTTCCCTTTTATCTCTTGTAAGATAAAAGGTGGTGCAGGCCACAACTCAGGGAAACTCCCTTTACCCTTTACATTGGATCAGGGATATGACTTAGGTAAGGGTGTTACAATCCCAGCCTAATCCTCTTTAACATAAAATTACAATCACAAAATGGAGGACAACCACACAACACTGGGAATCATGGTCCAGCCAAATCGATACATACATTCTTTGGGGGATGTAATTCAATCCATGACACATGCCTGCAGAGATAAATACAGTCACAGATGCTTCTGGAGACACACACAGCCCAGGCCCTCTGCACCTCTCTCCACCTCACTTTCTCTCCTTAGCGTTTTGAGACTATTTTGCATGTGATGGTGTTTGCAGGTGGTGAGCTGATACTTACAGGGCAGCAGGAGCTGCTGTGGCCAAGGGACCTGGGTCTCCAGGCTATGGGTTCTGCCATTGCTTCCCTCCATGCTCTCACCTCACAGAGAAGTGTTCCCAACAGTGGGATGGGTGTGAATCTGTCACAATTACCAGAAAGCAATCATCAATGGAAACTTTAGAACTGGAAGTGGCCTCGGGACAAGCCCAGGAAAGACATGATGCAGATGCCTAAGGATTACCAGTTGACACCGAGTAGACTCCAACTCATGGCGGTCAGATGTGTGTCAGAGTAGAACTGTGCTCTATAGAGTTTTCAGTGGCTGATTTTTCTGAAGTAGATCACCAAGCCTTTCTTCCATGTTCCCTCTGGGTAGATTTCTCTCTAGTGTGTGTTTGCACATGCCTTTGATATAACTAGAGACACCTGAAAGCTTTCCCACATTGCTTGCATTTGTAGGGTTTCTCATATGGTAAGAAGTGTACAGTGTGTGTTTTAAGGATGAGGGTCAAGGGTCGGCTTTCCCATATTGCTTACATTCATAAGATATCTCTCCAGTGTTCACTCTCATGTGTCTTTGAAGTGACCTGTGATACCAGAAGGCTTTCCCACATTGCTTGCATGTGTAGGATTCTCCTTCAGTGTGAATTCTTATACAAAGTGATAAAGATGAAGGACACTTGAAAGCTCTCTCACATTGTTTGCATTCATAGGATTTTTCCCCAGTGTCCTCAATTTCATGTCTTTGAAGTAAACAAGGCAAACAAGTCTTTCCTGCACTCCTTACATTTATATGGATATTCTCCAGTGTTCGTTTTCGCATGACTAGTAAAATTGAGGAAATAAATGAAGGCTTTCCTACACTGCTTATGTTCGTAGGTTTTCTCTTTAGTATGAATCCTTTTTATGCCAGCTGACAGAAGAGGTATGAAGAAGGCTTTCTCACATAATTTGCATGCAGAAGACCTTTCTCCACTGTGAGTTCTCCCATGCGTTTTCAGGTATGATGGAGAAGGCCTTCCTCCACTCTTGACATTGATACGGTTTCTGCCCAGTGTGATTTGCGATGGGCCTCTTAAGGGAGGAATGATTCATGGGGACTTTTCCACGTTCACTGCATTCACATGAACTGTGAAGGAGTCTTCTCATACAGATGACGATTTGGAAGCTGGCTGAAGATTTCTCCACATTGATTATTAGGTTCAGTACTTTCATAGAGTCCCTCAACCGTATGGTTTCTGTCAAAAATGAGAGGCACATTATCACTTGTTTATTAATGATTTATTACATACAATTACATCATTACAATTTATAGTGAAAGTGTAGGTTTTCTGTCCTGTGTGAACTGTTTGAAAGTGGAATAATACAAAATTTGTGGAAGAGAACTCAATCATAGCTATTATTTAAACAGTGTTCCTTATGCATGGGGTTTCTGGATAACTGTTTCCAACTGAATTATGTTTCAAACACTCAACTTTTAACTCACATTTGAGGAAAAAGAATTTTTTTTAAATTTGTGAATAAGCAAATTGCCTCATGTGATTTTTTTGTTTTGTTTTGAGTATTATTATTAAAATTCTGTTAGATATCCCTCTACCAGAATATCACACCTCTACTAAGGTGTACCTCACCTCAGATGTCTCCCGTGGTTTTTCTCTTAATCATCAATGCTACGGTCTTTCCAAATTTTTCGTAAACTGGATGCCCATGAATAATTTCTTGTGAAATTATGTTCCTTGGATATTTTTTTCCATAAATATTCTGCTGAGAATTTGACCCGTTAGTTTTAACTTGAATCTCTCACTTTTTCTTTTTTTCAGTGTTTTTTTTTCAATTGTAGTTTAGGTGAAGGTTTACAGAACAAGCTAGCTTCTCATTAAACAGTACACATATTGTTTTATGACATTGGTTAACAACCCCACGACATGTCAACACTCTCCCTTTTTGATCTTGGGTTCCCTATTACCAGCTTTCCTGTCCCTTCCTGCCTTCTAGTCCTTGTCCCTGGGCTGGTGGGCCCCATTAGTCTTGTTTTTTAACTTGAGTCTCTTCATGTCAAGCAAAAAGTGAACAAATCATATAAGAAGGAGAGCAGCTATGAACCAAGAAAGCTGTTTAGCAGTTTAGCTGTTTCAGAATTTCATCAAGAACAGCACAAGGGGTAAAAATGGTAGGCAATTTTGCAAACGAAGTAAAATTCTCACAAGTTTTCCAAAAACAAACTTTTCAGTGTCCCCAAAGTGAACCATGAAGCCTATATCCACACTGGTGACACTAAAGGAGATTCAACTCTTATAACCATGACCGAATGAAAAACTCAGTTTAATACATAGATTCTCTTGGTCACAAACTATTAGACTCTAGCACCATGACGGTAGTGACACTTCTGTCGTACTGACCCAGCATATTCCTCTCTCCATATTTCAAGTCTTGGAGCAGACTTGATGAGCAAGAAGTGCTTCTTCCCTAAAGAATTAAGGGAAGGTGCAATGTCATCCTTACCTACTGATATAAAGTTCCTGAAGGTTCCAACATCGCATCCCTGTAGAGCTTCCTCTGAGCATGATGCAGCAAAGCCCACTCCTCCAGAGTGAAGTCCACAGCCACATCCTCAAAGACGACTGATTCCTAAAACATTGATGTATGTATGGAGGAGGATGGATGGAGCTGACAGCACTGGAGACTGGATTCAATTCGTAGGTAGGTCAAACAAGATTCTCCTCTCTCCTAACATCTACTCTATGACTCAGTCATCAGACCTCTTACTCTCTGTCTACACTCACTATCTCAGATTAAACAGCACTGTTAACACTGGGAACATATATCTACTTTTTCGCTGTGATCACTTCAAGTTTTATTCCCCTCTAGCAGAAGGTTCTAGAGCACATTAAAGTGAAAAAATGAGGGAAACACTATATAACTGAAACAACTTTTTCCATTTTAAAATTAACTCCTCGAGACAAAAACTACTTCATCTCCTTCCCTGCTACTCACCACATCACTCAGCACTATATCAAGCACAGAATCAACATAGATGATGTGTTTGTTTTCTTTTTAATTTTTAACTTTATTGTTGTACTTTAAGTGAAAGTTTACAATTCAAGTTAGTCTCTCATACAAAAATTTATACATACATTGTTATGTGACCCTAATTGCTCTCCCT